TCTGGCATATAGCCTATAATATAACAAACTATTGGATAGTACTTACCTTGATATTTACTTAAATACTCATTAAGATCGGAAAATGAGGTATTTACACTGATTGATGCATTAGACCTATGCTGACTAAATTTTGCTCTGAGATATATTATCCATAATTAATAGAGGTTTTTCCAGTAATACACACATGGCAGATATATACTGTATTTTGTGAGGTATTCAGATGGGTTGTTATAGTTCAAATTGTGTTTTAGTGGAAATATGACAGGAATTAAGAGCTACATATGATAATTTAGAGGCAGAGAGACAGAATATGGTAAAAAAAAAAAAAAAGAGTATATATTATAGCTTTGAAGCTATACCCTGGGGCCTGTACTGACCTGTAAGTGTCTGAATGTGTGTGTGCATGTATGCTTGTGTGTTCACCTTGCACAGTGATTCCAGGGCTTCCAGGGTCGTCTCACCTGGCTGTATAATTGCCAGAACAGGCTGATCGTTGGGCAATATTACCCAAGATGGTGTGAGGTATTCAGCAACCCAAACGTCACTGTCTGCAGCATGCTGAGGAAGACTCCTCATGGACCCTGTCTGATCCTTGCAAAAAGCAAACAACAAAAAAGTCAATATGCAGGTAATAGGGCTGTACAATTATAGTGTACTCTCTTCAGACTGCTCCTCAGTTTCAGTAACGAAGTGGATAATTTAAATGGTAAACCAAAACAGAATTTAAACTAAAAAAATGAATGAACGAACTAATGAACAAACAAACAAATAATGGTTTTGTAATAGTAACAGCAAGTTACTGATAGGCAGTAGATTTTTAGCCTTCCATTCAATGTCCCTTTTTAGCCTTCCCATTCAATACACACACATTTGGCTGCGTCATGCCTGTACTATTTTAAATGTGTGCTTTATTTAGCCATATCACAATTAAACACAGCTGTCTAAATCAATATAAGAGAAATGCATCAAGCCAGATCTATCTCTAATTGCAGCTAATTTGCCGAATCCAATTAACTTGGTATCCAACCAAGACAGTATCTGATCTCTTTTTGCCCCTTAGAGCTAAAGCTTGGCCTGTGGTTGCTGATCAATGGGGTGAGATTTGATGAACAGGAGGCCATTGTGGCTAGGATATGGGGCTCTTGGACTCCCAGGCCTGTCCGCAGATCCGTCCTTCTGTCAGCAGCA